TCCAGGTATGGACCACTGGAGAGCTGAAAAGAAAGTGATGAGGTATCTACAAGAAACCAAAGATTACATGCTTTTGCATAAACATACAAACAATCTGGATATGATTGGTTACTCAGATTCAGACTTCACCGGTTGTGTTGATTCTCGTAAATCAATATCAAGATATATTTTTATGATGACTGGTAGAGCTATTTCTTGGAGAAGCTCTAAGCAGACCTTAATTGCTACTTCTACCATGGAAGCTGAGTTTGTCTCCTGTTTTGAGGCTACTTCACATGGTATATGACTTAAGAATTTCATTTCCGGGCTTAGAATCATGGATTCTATTTCTAGGCCATTAAAAATTTTCTGTAATAATTCAGTTGTTATATTTATGACTAAAAATAATAAAAGTGAAAGTTAAGTAAACACATCGACATTAATTATTTAGCCATAAGAGAATGTGTAAAAGAAAAAAAGTGGTCATTGAGTATATTAGCACTGAATTGATGATTGTTGATACTTTGACTAAAGGTATGCCACTTCTGAAATTCAAGGATCATGTAGAGAAAATTAGACTTAGTTTCACTTTGTAATGATATTAAAACTCTTATATATTATGATATTTTCTCATTCATGTGCACATTATTTTGAGAAAATATATTATTATTGGACCAAGAATAAACATAAGGTTTATTCATTAAGTAATATTACCACATTAAGATTAAGAAACTAAATGCATCGTGATACATGGATGATAATCCTTACTCTTAGAGGACTTATCACTATGATTCATGTATTTATTTCTTAAGAAAGTTGTTCGATAAAGATTAATTCAAATTATTAAGTTAAACGTATGGATCAAGTGAGAGAATGTAACCGTTATTATTAAATATTTTATTTAATAATAATTGAATCATTCTCATTAAGTTCATTATTCAATTTCTTTATTTATTATGTTTTAAATATTTTAATTTTTTATTCTAAATGTAACCATTATTATTAAATATTTAATATCATTAAAATTCTTCATTATGGTCCGAACGTTATAAATTTGAATTAATTCTTGAACGTTATGAGTTGGTGATAATAAATATTCTTGATGAGAGAACATCTATATAAACGAGGATTTTGATCCCTGGGCTCAACATCTGTTTGAAGTCAAAAGGATTTTCTACACCATCTAAAGCTAGAGTTCTGAGCCGAGAAGTACCAAAGTTCAAGAAAAAACCGTTGCAAAAATTATTAACAATAATTGCTAGAGGTACGTTATTTCATTTCCGCATTAGTTTTTATTATGTTTCTATTATAATAATTTAGAAACACATTTTTGCATCAAATATTACTAACAGAGGAGCCATCATGCAACTTCTACATGACACACTTCTTTCTCGTCTGATTTGGTGAGGGGATATAAAGGAATAAATGTGATTTCTTTTGTGCTATCGACTTCCTGATTGAGATTCTCATGCTTTCAATTTTGGCTTATCCCCTAATCACAGCGAGAAGTCCTCAAAGTGGATTAACTGCAGAGAACTCTCATCATAGATTACAATGTCGACTCACATAAAAGAATGTCTATAGGTGGTTCCATTTATTCTAACATCTTTTCATAAGCCTTAAATATAAAGAAAATAATAATAATATGAAACAGGAAAATACTCTTATCAAATACATTGTATTTTGTATTTTTGGAGAAGATCAAATTTCGGATTTGCTTATCGAGTATCCCCCCTTCTTTATGTTCCATTTCTTGTAAAATGATTACATTCCATTTATAGATTTACAAAAACTCTCTAAAATAACGAAAATCTATTTAAATATTAAATAACTAAAATTATTTTGCTTTGATATCAAATCTTAAGTAGGTCGAGTAACAATAAGTTTATTTTTAATTTTTATATAAAAAATAAAGAGAAAAAATAACATAGAACACTTATGATAAAAATCCTGTGCCTCTAGACATTATGCACATGAACTATGAAATCATATCATCAGGAAAAACATATAATATAAAATTTTTAATATTATATTATAATATTTTGATCTGTTTTAATGGTCTTTTATTATAAGAAAAAATAATAAGGAGAAAAATAAGATCAAATAAAATTGTAGTTGGTTTTTTTTTTGGGAGTAATTGACTTTCAGACTCACTTTTTATGGGAGTAATGATAATATACTTTTGGTATAGATTGATAATTTTTCCCCTCCTTTTGTTCATTTATTTTTTATAATTAATTGAAAAAAATAAGGTTTTGAGCTACTTTACACTATTAACTTGTAGATTTGGTGAAATAACTTCTAAAACAACTCTTAGGTTAAATGTCTCATAACTCTTAGGATAAATGTCTCTTATCTCCGCTCATCTCACACATGAACGATGGAACATATATTCCTCATACCCTGCACACATACAAGAAGCAACTTAATTGTGACTTTATTTTTTATGTTTCAATATAATATTTTGATATCTTTTTATTAGCTTAAATATAAGAAGAGAAGATGAGTTTCAATATAATATTTTGACATCTTTTTATAGGCTTAAATATAAGAAGAAGAAGAAGAAGAAGAAGAAGAAGAAGAAGAAGAAAACACTAACAAGAAGAAACATACAGTTGTATAGGGCTAACCAAATATATTGTTTTTGGTATTCTTAAAAGAAATTGAATTTTCAGATTTGCTTATCAAACTTCGTCATCCAGATAATCTCTCTTTCTTGTACATTCTTTCCCTATTTTCATTATTTATTTTCTTTTTTTGTTCATAGTCTATTTAAGGAAAGAAGATTAAAATATTCTATATGCTGTATCGCGACAACTTATAGAAATTGAAAGACTCCCTAAACTAATATAATTTTATTTAAATAAAAATAATTAGAAATATCCTACAAGATAATGGATGATACATCTAATATCATGCATATCATTGTGAATTTTGGCGAATTCAATTGTAAACATTTCTATAGGTGTGTAATCGGTTGGCCAATTGAGTTGATTAGTAAACTTAAAAGTTTTTTTTTTGTTTAACAAAGATTATTTTTCTAAAAAAATATCGAATATAGAAAACATAAATTGCAAGAGAATCATATTTTATAGGTTCATGCATCTTTTCCCTTTCTCTTTCATACCAGTAATGTCATCTTATAACGTCATTTATTATCTAATAAAGGGCTGCAGAATTAGGACTAATCCTCTTCTCCGTATATATACATACTGCATCACCACCACTTTCGAAGACTGTCCAGCTTCGCCAAGAGGGAGAAAGGTAGAGATTCATATTTTTTTATTGCTCCTGTCTTATATGGAAAATATAATGTTTTATCTCTGTAGCATCGATCCTTTTGCTACAATTTTTCTTTATATATAATTTATGGATGTTTATAATGCTTTGATCGACATGAATATCTTTTATTATTGATGTGTATTAGTGCGAAACTAAGATAGGGGAGGGGGAGTGTAGTGTTTCCACGATTAGATATGATTTAACTATACTTGAAGTCTAAGTATGATTTATGAATTATGAATCAGTAAATTTTGTAAATTGAATTTTTCTTTCCCTAAATCATAATAGATTCGAGTTTATTTGGATTGATTGTAAACAAAAAACAAAAAAAAAACTAGTTATTTGATATTATATATTTAATTACTTAAGTGATTTTAGAAAAAAAAAGAAAAAGGATCAGCAACTTGATGTTTTATCTTAATCAGTTTGGACTTACTATGATGTCATATAAAATTTAACATAAGTCAACTTTGAACTTATTGTTGATCCTTCTATCATAATAAAATCATGATGGATAAGGGCTACTTTGAAAGGAAAAACAAAGGTGTATTAGGGTTTTGTATTTAAGGTTTTCTATACTCTTTATTTATACAAAAAATAAAATAGGATCTAAAAAAATCTCATGACCAATAATGATAGTAATAATAATAATAATAATAATAATAATAATAGTGAACAAAGAGAAAAGAATAAGAAACAAGAATAATAAGGAAAGAAAGAAGAAAATAGAAATACTAACTAAATATATATAAATAAACAAAAAGGAAAAGAAAACAACGATCTACACGCAATAAGGATATAGCAATAAGAATAAATGATAAGAACAACAATTATAAGAAGAAGAAGAAGAAGATGAAGAAAAAGGGTAGGAAAGATTTCTTATCCGAGAGTAAAAACTATTTGTTCTCATTTGAGTCTATCGGTTTTCCAAATTAATCTTGTCATAAGATAGTTGTCATTCAATCAAGTTAGAAGAGAGACACCATAATAGTCTTTTGATCATCTAAGGAATCTCAAGCATGTTGATCACCATTTTATCATGAATCAACAGTGCAATCAATAGACACTTTCTTTTGCCTCTCGAAATGATTACAGCTCAACCAAAGGTACACCAATCACTGTGCTGAGATCTATAGACCCAACAAAATAAAAGGAAAAAGGAACAATCAAAACTTTTATAGCATAATTATTGATGGTCGAGGGTGATGCTATCTATCTATCATAGTCTTTTGATCATCTAAGGAATCTCAAGCATGTTTATCACCATTGTATCATGATTCAACAGTGCAATCAATATACACTTTCTTCTGCCTCTCAAAATGATGATCACAGCTCAACCAAAGGTCACTGATCATTGTGCTGTGATCTAAACCCCGAAAAAATAATAGGAAAAAAGAACGATCAAAACTTTTATAGCATGATTATTGCTGATTGAGGTTGATGCTATCTATCTGTGTGTAGACTCCATAATAGTCTTCAAGCAATCTCAAGCATATTTATCACTATTCAACAGTGCAATCATTATACACTTTTCTTTTACCTTTCAAAATGATTGCAGCTCACTCAAAGGTCACCGATCATTGTGGTGAGAACTGAGCCCAAAAAAATAATAGAAAAGAAGATCAATCAAAACTTGTATAGCATAATTACTGTTGGTCGAGGGTGATGCTATTTATGACTCCATATCTTCCTGTCCCCTAAAAAATATAAAATATACATATATATATACTACATGTCAATAAACAAAAAGTATTCACTGCCAGTCAATCTTATTTATTGTAAGGAAAGCTCCTGCAACATATATATGTACATACACAATATGTATGTACACAAAAAGCAAAAGAAACTACACAGATGTCAAGGGTGATTGATCATGGACATCCATGCACAATAAGCACACACAATCTTCTGGGAGATGTAGACGTACACGGCAAAAGAGAAGCTCATGAGCAGTACGTCCTTCCAATCCCCCTTCTGCTTGGGTGACAAGCCCTCCATCAGTCCCGTCCCCAGCTTGCCAGCCTCACCGTACATCTCCACCAACAGCCCCCTCCATGACTTCCCCTCCTTGCTTCTCCGCTTCTCCTTCTCATTCTCTCCCCCGCCCCCGGCAGGCCCCGCCGACAGCTGGCTTCGGCATGGCGGAGACTGCTTCACCACCCTGGGGGTGGGCTTGATGGGGTGGAGGCGACTGCTGTGGACTCCGCGAAGAGGAGGGCCGAACGAGAGAGCAGCCATGGGAGGATGGCTTTGCCGTATGGGGATGTTCCTCTCCCGGCGGTCGACCGATGAGATATGGGCTGTGGGCCATCATGTGTGACTGCCATGAAGGAGAGGATAAGTTTCAATAATACCACACATAAATCCAACAGCCGGGAAGAAAATATCTGTCGGCTCAGCCAATTAAAGAACAGCAAGCTCGATCTGAACTCGAATCTATCCTTAAATGGACTTGGCTCAGCTGCACCCTTGGATCGATCCGATCACCACGGACGCACCCGATCTCGGTTGAGCTCGGTCGGATTCCCGCCTCGTTCGCGCGCCACAGTGTCAATATTCTCACGTAGAGGCAAAAGTACGTATCAGCAATGCTAATGCGTCGATCAGCCATTGCCTTTCATATATGTTCCTCCCTCCAATTTCATTATGGTTTGTATTTTTGCCAATGTTAATTCTCCTTTTTGAATCCATGAGATATTATTTCTAATGTTACCGCAAGTAAAACTAATAGCGGGAACTGTAAACATAACTAATCTTCGAACCGTCCAAATCCATCGCATGGTTTCTTGATGTCTGTCTTTCTGTACAATTTTAAGTGGGTCTTGTTTTAAAGAACTCGGTGGCCTTTCTTTTCAGAACCCAACTGCTTCTTTTGCTGCATTATTAATCTAACTGAATGCTATATATTTAACTCTATCTAGTCGTCTTTGATTCTTCCCATAGTTTGTATCAACAGACTCGGTGGACAACAGAGTGGTGATCGCGAGATGTCGAAATCCGGTGCTATGGATCTCGCTACGAGAGTGGGAGGGTCGATCAAGAAGGAAGACGTGCAGTCCGCTGTGGATCGGTATATTTCTCTGTTCATCTTATTCAGGATCAGTTCTGTTTGGCATGTCATTCTTAGGCTGCAGCGAACAGCGCTTAAGTACCAGCTTTTGCACTGAACTGAAACCTTGATTTGTGACTGCACTGCAACTTGGCTTGCGGATGCTTTAGCGCATTAGATGCGTCCTTGTTTTCCCCTGTGAAAGCATGTACCCTGGTGAATCCATGTTGCCGCATCCTTACATCAAATAAATGTTGCAAGAAAATGGTAGTGGAACTAATCACCTTTTCCGATCACTGGCCTAAGAAGGAAGGCATGATTTTTGTGATGCAAAAAAATGTTGAAATTTTTTTCGAGTCGGCCTCGTATTTGCTCCGCGATACTGTGCACTTGGCTTAAAGATTGCAGTTTCCTGAGGCATAAATTTTCAGAGTGATGAGTATTTTTCGATGCCTTACTGTTTGTTTAGGTACGAAAAATATCATGTCTGCTTTGGTGGTGAAGAGGAAACAAGAAAAGCAAACTACAGTGATATGGTATGTTATTTGCAAACTGGACTGCCTATCCGATCATCTATGCGCCTCAATTGTATTGCCTAGCATAGGACATGCCAAATTTTCTGCCTATTCAAGTTATTTTTCAGGAATCAGGATTGATTTGTATGAAGTCCAAGTTTCATTCTTTATCTTTTTCTTTTTTATGAGAAATTTATTTGGACACTGAAACTGTATTCGCTGTGACTTTTAAGAATTACCATCGCATAGGCATGACATTTTAAGGTGAAATAATAATATATATTCGTGATCAAATGCAGCATAGAGTGACAATTATGCTGCTGTTGTCACTTTGACTACTTCAGACCCATTGGTGTCCTGCAGATTTGAAGTTTCATGTGCATGATTGAATTTTCAGTAATCTTTGTGAAACATTAGTCATATTGTGCTCCGTCAACGGGTCAATTTATTTTTATGAAGCATAGAGTGACAAGTTTAGGAATCAGGATTGATTTGAATGAAGTACAAGTTTCATTCTTTATCTTCCTTTTTTATGAGAAATTTATTTGGACAATGAAATTGTATTTGCCATGACTTTTAAGAATTACCGTCGCATCCGTTATGACATTTTAAGGTGAAATAATCATATATTCATGATCAACTGCAGCATAGAGTGACAATTATGCTGCTGTTGTCACTTTGACTACTTCAGACCCAATGGTGTCCTGCAGATTTGAGGTTTCATGTGCATAATTGAATTTTCAGTAATCTTTGTGACATGTTTGTGCTCGGTCAACGGGTCAATTTATTTGTATGAACCATAGAGTGACAATTTTAGGAATCAGGATTAATTTGTATGAAGTACTACCAGTTTCATTCTTTATCTTATTTTTTATGAGAAATTTATTTGGACACTGAAACCGCATTCGCTATGACTTTTAAGAATTACGGTCGCATCCGTATGACATTTTAAAGTGAAATAATCATATATTCGCACTCAACTGCAGCTTAGAGTGACAATTATGCTGCTGCTGTTACTTTGACTACTTCAGACCCATTGTTTGTTCTTCAGATTTGAAGTTTCATGTGCATAGTTGAATTTTCAGTAATCTTTGTGAAACATTAGTTACATTGTGCTCTGTCGATGGGTACTCAAATAAGCTTCCGAGAGTGACAGCAATAAGATCATGAGTTCAGGGATACAATTATAGGGAATGCGATTCTCATTCGTACGAACTACTCTCGGCTCGGACAAGCATATCTGATTTCTGTAGTTTTTTTTACCAAAGTTACAATATTACTCATTTTCATAGTTATTTGTGTTGCCAGACGTGTAGTTTGCTCCTCAAAAAAATCAAATTTGTGGCATTGCAATGAATTATTTGTTTTGTCAAAAAAAGTCTTGTGACGGTTTGTGATGTCTTCCTCATCCTTCAGGTAAATAAGTACTATGATCTTGCCACAAGCTTCTATGAATTTGGTTGGGGACAGTCATTCCATTTTGCTCCCAGGCATGCACTTGCCCTATACTGCTGAACTTAATTCATCCACATATCTGATTGCATATACCGATTGCATAGATTTCATGATTTTTAGTATGCAAAAACAGAAACTGAAATTCTAAGTTTATTTTCTCAAGATGGAAAGGGGAGTCTCTTGGCGAAAGCATTAAGCGCCATGAGCACTTCATTGCCTTACAACTAGGACTGAAACCTGGGATGAAGGTTGTCATCTTTCTTCTTATATTCGACTCTATTCGAGTAACTTATTTACATACACCTTCCGATTTTTGCTTTAATGCAGGTTCTGGATGTGGGTTCCGGAATCGGTGGACCTCTAAGAGAGATTGCTAGGTTTAGGTATGCTCAAATCATGAGAATGCTTTTTTTTCTTGCTGGTAATTCAGCCTTTTCTTTAACTATCTTGGCTAGAACTGGTTTCTTTGGGAACCATTGTTGATACCTTCTTACACAAGTGTGCCCATGAGATTGATACCTACTTAGAAACCTGTTGATGAGTATGGTCAGCTTGATGTCTGCTGAACATGACAATGCAATTGTGATTATGACTTCTTTGGATCTTTGCAGCTTAACTTCCGTCACAGGGATCAACAACAATGAATATCAGATTTCCAGAGGAGAAGTAAGTGGCATGTCCCTTTTAAATCTGTGCATATCAGTGACATTAGCGACGGCCTTTCTAAGTCTAGTTTTACATATTTCACTCATTTTAATTTTAATTTTTTTGGGGTTCTAACAAATATCATTTTCAGGAGCTCAACCGATTAGCGGGATTGAGTCATTCGTGCAACTTTGTTAAGGTCTGTTTCAATCCTTTATATGATTAGTGGTGTATTCTATTTCTTTCTTTCCAAATCTTCACGTAAAGAAGAGAACACAAGTGCAGGCTGACTTCCTGAAAATGCCATTTTCGGATAACGAGTTCGACGGCATCTACGCGTTCGATGCACTTTGCCATGCACCAGATCCAGTATGTTTTCTCTTATGAGTTTGTCTCGGCTATTTTCGGATTAATGGTGGCCATCTCTTGATACAATCATGGGTGATCTTGGACTTGTGACATACATGAGCAGGTAGCCTGCTACAGAGAGATCTGTAGGGTGCTGAAGCCCGGCCAGTGCTTTGCCGCATCTGAATGGTTCATGACCGATCACTTCGATCCAAACAACCAAAGTCACCAGAAAATAAAGGCCGAAATCGAGCTTGGCAATGGACTCCCAGATATAAAGACCACAAGAGAATGTGTTGATGCACTGAAACTTGCAGGATTCGAGGTAAAAAGGATCACATGCCCCTCGTCAGTCTGGCACATGCTCACATCCTCTTTGCTTGGCTTCCTTTTAAGGTCGTATGGGCGAGGGATCTTGCGGTGGGTTCTCCTATACCTTGGTACTCGCCATTGGATGTAAACCGGTTCTCCCTCAGTGGCTTCCGCTTGACGGCTTTTGGGAGAGGGATTACTAGAGCCATGGTAGAGAATGCTTCCACTTATCCAAGACCAGATCACAGTCCGACGCATTTGCTCTTGTTGAAGTGGATAATGCTTGCTGTTTTATTTTGAAGGTCAAGGCTCTGGAATTTGTTCGCATTGCGCCGGCAGGAAGCGCGAGAGTCTCATCATTCCTGGAGACGGCCGCCGAGGGGCTTGTGGAAGGTGGAAGGTGAGACAGATTGCTACGTTTGTGCTTGTAGAGACACCATCAGATATCGGTGGTTCTTATTGAGGTGGCCTCCAATTTGTTTCTTGTTGCAGGAAGGAGATCTTCACACCAATACACTTCTTTTTGGCCAGAAAGCCTCTCTCACGTTCTTGAGAAAGTTCAAGGCTCTGAATTTGCTAGTTGCACAAGTGCCGTGCGATCTCGCAAAGTCTAAACTACAACACTGGCCATTAACTATTTTCGTTTTCCAACTTTGGATGTTGTTGTTGGAAACTTTGGTTTGCATCCTCGAGGATCAATAATTACTTGGTGTTCAGTTTTCATCTCTATCTATCTCACACACACATGAAAAACTATATTTATTGTTTGATGACAGAATCCAACAATTATGCTATAAATTGATCCATCGTTTTCTTGATAGCTTAAGCTTTTGAGTTACGCAGTAATTTCACGTTAAATTTTACGTTGTATTAAACATGTTACGCAAACTTGGGTCCATTCAGTACATCTCAATCGCGTCCATCAATCAGCGTAATCTTTAGGCCATACAACAAGCAACCTCTACCGCTAGTGGCCGCCATCAGCGTCACAGTAGCGGAGAAGATGACGGAGGAGAGGATGCAGATCCTGTCAGCAATGCACGAGGAAGAAGGATCACATAGATCGCTGTCCAAAGCAATGGCGATGGCGACGCAGGAGCAGTAGAGTTTGGCGTGCTGTCGATGCCGGCCATGAGGTGATGGCGACTAAGCGCCGATCGGGGTGGTTTCCCTGATGGAATCCAAGTCACGCCTCATTGTTGTTACCGCCCCGTGCTCGCCACCTCCCTTCTTCTCCTGCTCGCCCCAAATCTCCGGTATCACTTGCCTCAACTCGGAGATGCTATCCAACAAGTAATCGTCTTCCTTCGTCCTCTCACGCTTCCCGACCTTCAGAAACAAAACATGGCTCTGTTCTATATAGGAATCTCCAAGGAAAGCAGGAGAAGGAGATGGTGGCGGTATTACCAGAGCGGTCCGGAGGCCAATTGCTTTCCCTGCTGCAATATTCCTCTCGTTGTCATCCACGAACAGCTGATACACCCAAAAGGAGAACAATGTTAAACATGTTGTTCTTCCTCAGCTGGTAGATACACTGTTATCGCTGGGTTGGTCCCTACCGTGCGATGAGGAGCGAAGCCAGCGAGCCACACGGCCATCTTCATCGCCGCCGCAGAGGGCTTAAGGATAACCTCCACGTTCCTCGTGGCCGGTAATGGCCCGGAAGACCCGGCTTCCCTCTCGTCCTTAAACAAGTGGGGGTTCATCGTCTCGAAGCAAATGATGCGGTGGAAGCAGTCTTCCTCGACGCCCAACCTCCGCAGCGTCCTCCTCGCGTGCTGCCTATCCGAGTTGGTGAACAGCTACGTCACCCGAAAGCAATCTCTCAGACAAGATATGATACACAACAGGCCATCGAATTTGAAGGTAAGGTTAAACGCGTACGATCTTGGGCTGGGGAATGCTGAGAAGAAGCTCCCGCAACCCCGCATCAGGTCGGATCAGTTCGTACGGCAATCTCCCATGAACGAAGCTGACGCCATCAAATAAAACAAGTCAAGAACAACATCATGTCTATTCCTGCTACTTCGTCAATGCATTTTCCTTCTCTTTAGCCCATGTTGAATTGGTCTCCATCGTACCTGTGGTACTCGTCAGGGTGTACGTCATAACCGAGAGCCTGAAACAATTGGACCAAAAATTACAAGTCTAATTTCGTCGATAAGGCCATGCCAACTGAAGATTCAGAACGCAGAGAGGGTATGCAATACAAGGAGGCCTGCGAGGGAGCTGCCGTGGGACCGAAAGTGCTCGACGCGAAGAGCGGAGGCTCGTCCTTCTGATACACCGCATTTGCTAGCGAGAAAATCTGCAGAAAGAAACACCATCGAGCAACAGTTTCAATGAAATATGAGGAACAGAGAATCTTTAGATGCTTCGTCTCTGCTTGTGTTCATCGGTGGCACCTTCGATGTTCTTCTTGCAAGCTTGTCTGATGCCAATTGTGGAAGAGTACAAGGTGTCATCGAGATCTTGACATATCGAAGAATACCAGTTAGAGGCATGAATCTACGCAGATTACAGAAGACTCCGATGACGAACTTTACCTAATAGAAGACAATCGAATGGGGATTTGGAACCACGGAACTCCATCACAGCAACGGAAGCAACTGGAGGAGGAGGATGCTGCATCCGTGAGAAGAGAGGAGGAAGAAGAAGAAGAAGAGAGGGTCGGGGAAGGAGCCGCCCCAAGAAGAGGCCACATATTTAACGGCGCCATGGCGTGAAGGTGATGGCATCGAACATCGACAAGCTTAGATTAGGATTTTATCGTGGCACGTCGGTCGGACGTTTACAAGTCGAGGCCACGTGGCTTCATTTTGGACACACGTGTGGACGGTGGTTGGCGTGCCGGTCCGGGTTATCAATCAATTATGGCCTGCTAACGTAAACATCTCGTTGTCACGCCCAGAAACGTGTCAAAGAACACTTTGACCCTCGCGTCGTTTTGCTAATATTCTTTTCTTTTTCCAAGTAAAAGAACGACATTGTTCTTGTTCTTGTTCTTGTTTTGTATGTTCTTTTCAATGATCGAATATGCACAAGATAATATGCATTTCATTGTAATGTTCACTATTAAAAGATAAATAGGATACGGCAATCACATTAAGATAAATGGTTGAGATTAGATTTCATTTATTTGGCGGTAAAAATTAAGCTTGATTGGTGGACTTGAGCCGGCCCGGTCTAATAACATTTGGGTCGGATCAGGGTTTGGGTTGGATCGGATTCGGCCGCTCCCCGCAAAGGTCGTCTGGAACGAATAAGGCAGGAAACAAATATTTACTTCAATAACGAGCCCACACATCTGCATGCGGGGGCCCACGTTTTCCACATTTGGCACGGGGGGCCACCATGCTCCGCCGGGTGCACCTTATCAGGTGCGACCAAGTGCACATCAAAACGGCAAAGAAGCCGAAGAAAAGGATGCTCAGCGCGCGTCCCGGGATGCTGTCTGTCCCCGCATCCGCCGCCACGGCGTGATGGATCCCATCGGCCCCAAGCGCCGGTGCCCCTCCGCCGCCGATTGCTATCCTAGGGTTTCGCCCCAGCCCCGGAAGATGGATCGCGTCCTCGAGGCACTGCTCGCCCTCCCGGACCCCTCCGTCGCCTTCGAGCTCTCGCTAGAGGGCCTTCTCGAGTCGAGTCTCCTGGAAGCGGAGAAGGATAGGCTGGTCGAGAGCGCGATTGAGGCTGCATCAGCCATCCTCGAGGCTGCCAAGAGATCCGCCCGGCGGCGCGCGTCCAAGCACAACTCCTCGTCCTGGCCCCTTTCCTCCGATCTCACCATCAGAGTAAATCACCTGGACCCTCTCCTTTAATCTATTGTCGGTGTACTCCGGAAGAATCCGTTTCTCTTCTTGATTACTTACAGTGATGTGTGATGACAGGCACGCGCTTGTATGCTTGTAGTTGATTAATAATGTCTTCCAAGTTTATTGCTACTAAAGTCCACATGAACAGAGTATGCCTTGAACTGGATAATAACGCATAGGAAGACAATGGATCAGTGAGCATCCAATTGTCGTAAACAGTGGCGGCTGTTTCTAACAGATATTAGATTGGCTTGTTACCCCTAGAAAGAGAATAGAGAGAAGATGGAGAACAAGGAGAGATAAGAGTGAGAGAGAAGAGAGGTAGGGGAAGAGAAAAAAAAGAAAGGAGATATGGTGAGGAACTCTAGAATCGAAGACTTCGTTGAAAATAATACTTCAGATATACCTTAAGGTCTATAGAACACATTCATATATTATCCACCCTCATTACAGCTGTAAGATGTGTATTATATGGTATCATATCACTCCTGTTCGACCCTCTATAGTTCTTATCTGAAAAGATGAAGTGGCGTCCCATTGTTCGCAACCCAACCTTTCCAATGCCAACAAGGAATTCCAGCTACTTTGGACTCTTCTCATATGAACCCTCTATCTCTTGATACAAATTAAATTTGATCCAGTTAAATTTAGGCTGAGTTATGACTTTATGACTCTTTCAGCAGATCCTGGGAATTCTTAGTGCTTAATTCTCGCCATCTTTATAGCTACATGAGTTGTATGCTCTTTCTCATTATAATGCTGCAAGAGTTTTGCTTTATAATTACCAATGTCTTGGATCTTTTTCTTTTGGTAGACTTAAAATGTTTACCATCCTTTTACGGTCCTCTCTGTTTTTTGTCATCTGAATTTAGTTTCATCTTCAGAGAATTTGAATATATATACTCATGTTCACTGGCTCACTGCAGAATTGTGTACTACTTTTGTATTTATTTGTTATACACTTTCATTTTTGCTGATTTAGTTTATTTCCTAATACAACACTGAATTCAGTTTCATTTGCATGAGAGAGATTTCTACTTTTGTGCTTCGTGTTCCTTGATTGCTTTATGATATATTGGCTTCATTTAGTTTTCTCATTATCTTCATTTTTCTGTATGTGGCTGTGTGGTCTAATTGTTAAGTGTCAACATGCAATGTGGTTCTAGAAAAAGTATTTCTTTTTGTATAATCCCTTTACTTTGTTTTTAAGAATCTACCATGCATTCTTCCTTCAGTCCATCTGCTTGAGTTTTTTATAGCATCATTTTGACAAATAACTTCATGCATTATGGTGTTCTGAAGGTGTTCTCTAAGTTGGATACACAAAGTCTTTGTTATGCTGCAGCTACTTGTTCAATGTTCAACAAGTGTGCAACAGATCCAATGTGCTATGTGAATATTGACTTAACAGCTGAAATGCCGAAGGTTAATAACACAGTTGTCTCTACAATGATACAACGAGCAGGAAAAAACCTTCAGTAAGATTCCTTCATTTTAGTAAAATCCATTCGTTCAAGAATTTTCATCTCCTTTCTTTTCAATCAATTGCCTTTGGTGGTTTGCTTGCTGAATTAGAAATTCTTCCTTTCTCTGATAGACTCTTGGATTGACTTGTTGGCTATATATCCTACTTTCCAATAACTAATCTTGTTAAAATTGAAGATGTTGTGTTAGAACCAGCTATGCTTTGAGTTGGAACATGGCCTTATTTTCTGCCATCATGCTGGTGTTAGATTTATTGGTTATATTAAGCATGAAAGCCCAATGCATCTGGATGGTTTTTGAGAATTGTCTGGTATGGCCTTGTTGATTAGTATTGAAATATCTTGAAGATTACATTTTTTGGAATTTATTATTTAGGCAGTCGTATAGGTTGAGAAGCTAACAGGATCACCAATCAACTTGCTGATTTTATCGAGTATGTTGCTAGTGATGGATTCATGTTTCGGCCTCCTGCTATTGAAATATCTTGAAGATTACATTTTCAGATTGATGTCAACTTGATTAAAGCCGTTGGTGGCAAACAAATTTCAGGATGCTGTTACTTGTTCCTTGAGTATACTGTTGGACATAATATATGCCACAAAGCCTTTTTTTTGGCAGTATACAACTTAAAGATACCTGGTTTAAGCACAAAGTTGTCCATAGTTACCAAGTGTTATACCATCTCATTTTCATAATAGTGTTATATTATCTCTTACGGACCCTATAGCTTGCTTTTTAAAATTACTTTCATTATGCAATGTCTACAATCGAGCCTGTGCTTCACTGAGCTAGTTAAATGTTATGCCCTTTTGCAATTTAGTAGTGGGATCATATAGAAGTTGAGATGGAAGTCTAACTTTAAGTTCTCTGCCAACATACATATGCATGTTTTTATGAGTAGGTAAACGTAGGGGTTTCACCATAGTGATGGCTAACAAGTCATTTTCTTTCTGTCTTAAATGTAAACAAAATGTACCTGTGAAGCTTATTCCAATTATTTTCTAAAAACTGTTCTCCAAAACAGATCACTCAAGCTTGGGATTTGGCCTAACGCAGCTTCAACAACAGAACTTTCTAGACCTATGTCCTATTCCACTAGAAATCCCATGGATACATCAGGCCTTTCATGGACTCAAAAGAGACCAAGGCAAGGCAAGGAGACCTCTCTTCTTACAAGGTCTTGCCTTCTGGCTCTAAGTGTGGATGGTGGTGCTGCAGGGTATGAAAGTATTAAAGTTGTTTAGCTTCTTGTTATCTATTCTTTTGTTCTTAGTTTTTCTTTTTTATGTGAAGGAATTTCTTGAGGAGTCTGCACCTGTATAACATTGATAAAATGGACAATTTTGCACTTTGCAAAGCTTTATCTTCCTGTCCATTTCTACTTGACCTTGAAGTTGTTGGCCTGTAAGTATAAACAATAAACTGTCGTGGCATATTTCCAGTCTCTTTGGTTATTAGTGTTCTATGTGAAATGTGATGCTGTTCGCTTTTATCTGGAGGAGGATTAAAAATTATAATCAACTTAATTGTGGTGTGTATGTTGCTGTATATATAAGAAAAATTTACTACTTATTAGGTGGTGGAGGACTTGTTTGATGAAAATAACTAAGCTATTAGAGAACAAGGCACCTTTAATGTTGAGGGAACAAATGACCGTGCTCTTTCTTCTAATAATACTTTTAGTACAGAAATAGTTCTTATCCAATTTTAACCATTCAGTACCGATCGCAGTGCAGGATCCTCCAGACTTTCTAGAAATTTAGAACTTATGAATGCTTGGTTAATTTACATAATTAGTCAGCTTTAATATGTCTAGGAATGCACATGTATAGGACTGTGTGGTATCTGTTGCAATGAATGCACTACGATACCTTACTATGATACTTGTATGTATTCGTTGTAGTGAAGGCACTATGATCATATGCTCATACTTGTAGACTAAGGGGTGGAAATCTATAAATAAGGATGTAACTGTTTCTTTTCGCCATCAAGGGAAATACTTTTCAGCCTTTGGCAAACCCTAGGAGGTCGATCCCCTCGAAGTTATCTTATCCTTTTGTTCCCCTTCTTCTAAGGTAAAATCCTAAGGGTCTTACCATTTGGTATCAGAGTCGCAATCCTCGGCGTTTTCGCTGCAACTCCCCACACCGATTGCTCGACATCCCGCTATAACTTCCCAATCGTGCAATCTTGCTGCTCTTCCCGCTGCCCGCCAGCCCATCCATGTCGTCCTCCACGCAGCGACCCTCGGCGTTCCCGCTGCAACAACCATGCCTCTGCCGCTGCCTCCTAGCCACGTCACCGATGCTGCCCTCCAGCCACATGTCCTCCATGCAACGACCGCAGTGAGCCCTCACACTGCTCTTGACTCCGCAGTTGCATCCCAACCGCGCCACCGACGTTGCTCTCCAACCGCGCGCCCTCCACGCAGCGACCGCAGCGAGCCCTCATGCTGCTCTCGGCGTCCAAGGCTACCTTGGCATCCTCGTAGCGATCCTTCATGCCCTACGGCGTCACAATAGCTGCATTGAATAGGCAATGCTAATGCCATTGACCCGACACTAGAAACAAGAGTTGAGAATTACAGATTTGCAGTCCTACGCAATGGCTATCGACAATTCAATGAAAGCCCAACCAGAAGCCTTGGAAGCCAGAATTGAGAATTGGTTGCAGAAAACCCTTAACGATTTCAAAAGGAGCCTAGTGGAGAACTTAAGCAAGTTTCAACAAGATGAAAGCTCAAGTCCGACGTTGAATCGATCTAGAGACACAAGAAAAAGGTACCAAGAACATGACACAAGCTACCCACGCATGAAGGTGGAATTTCCAAGATGGGAAAATGGGGATCCGACTAGTTGGATCTTTAGGGCAGAAATTTTTTTTCACTTTCATAGAACTCCCGAAGAATCCAAGGTGGAAATAACTTCAATCCAATTAGATGGAAATGCAATCCAATAGTATGATTGGTACGAAACCTGTCATGGGATCCCCTCGTGGGAGCAATTCAAGAGAGGACTCGTTCGCTTTGGATCATCTGAATATTAGAATGTTGATGGGCAGCTCGCCAAAATTCGTCAGACCTCTATAGTGCTAGAATATAAGAGTTGATTTGAACGATTGCCAAATCAAGCTAGAGATTGGTTCGAACGGCAACTAGTGGGTACATTTATTGAAGGACTTAATCTAGATATCCGATGTGAAGTTAAAGGCTCGCCAACCTCGCACTATGACAACTACGATCTCATTTGCACGTTTGCATGAGGAAAAAATCAACATGGAGAATTGCCGAAATAGAGGTATCAACAAACAGGTGATCAGCGAGCCACCCACTCCATCTACTCCCAACCGAAACCCTAACACCTGAAGACTAACTTGAGAATAACTCAATGAAAGATTAACGAAGGGTTTGTGTTGGTATTGTGATGAAAAATGGAGTAAGAAGCATTGATGCAAATAAGGATAGCTTTTGATGTTTGAGCCGATTGAGGAGGAATCGGAAGCTGACGATGTGGACTCTAATCATGAAGGTATGGATACTGATGAAGATGTTGACTCTATCACACATACAGTGCATGCATTAGCCGACTACTCTAACCCGCAAACTATGAGAGTTGGAGGAACTTTGAAACATCAGTTTGTTACTGTTTTGATTGATACTGGTGGCACTAATAATTTTATGGACAGTAAGGTTGTTGCCCGATTGGCCTACCACATTAAAGGCTGTGGCAAATTTGAAGTAAAGGTTGCTGGTGGACGGATTCTAACTTGTGATAGCAAGTGTTCGAAGATAAAACTGATTATGTAGGGCCAAGAATTGCTTGTGGATTTTTTTTTACTACCTTTGGAAGACTACGAAGTAGTGCTTGGAATTGAATGACCATCAACCTTGGATAATGTTTCCTTGAATTTTTCTAAGCTAATCATGAAGGTTTTTATTAATGGAAAGCAAATGATCTTAAAGGGAAGACGTAGAAGTAAGGTCACAACTGTCATTGGTCATTGGATGGAGAGGATTCTTCGAAAGACACACCGGATTCTTGGTACAGTTGCAGAGCATTGAAAAGGAAGCGGCAGTGCACAACTAAACCGAAGATGTCGAATCATTGCTCAAAGAGTTTATAGATGTATTTGCAGAGCCACAGGAACTCCTACCTCTTCGACCTCATGATCACTGAATTCCGATATTACCCGGGAGAGCACCAACAAACGTCCGACCCTATAGATATCCATATTTTCGGAAGGCAAAGATAGAGAAAATTGTCAAAGAGATGCTACAAACAGGGGTCATAAGGGCTAGTGTCAGCCCATATTCCTCCCCAGTCTTGTTGGTAAGAAAGAAGGATGGCTCATGGCAGATGTGTGTAGACTACAGAACACTCAACAACATTACGATGAAAGACAAATATCCTATTCTAGTGGTAGATGAGTCGTTTGATGATTTGGGAGGAGCCTAGGTTTTTACTAAATTGGACCTATGGTCGGGCTATCACCAAATCAGAGTACATGAAGATGATATTCAGAAAACCACTATCTTTGTAGTTGTGGATCGGCTTACGAAGTATACTCATTTTTGTGCTATACGACATCCCTATACTGTCGCATGTGTTGCCTGTATTTTTGTTGAGAGTATAGCTAAATTGCATGGAGTTCCTCATTCTATTGTTAGTGACAGAGACAAAGTTTTTACTAGCACCTTTTGGATAGAGCTTTTCTGTTTACAGGGTATTCAGTTGAACATGAGTATTGCTTATCATCTACAAACAGATGGGTAAACTAGGTAAACTGAAGTAGTAAATAGGTGCCTAGAAAATTATCTCAGATGCTTTATCAGTGATAAGCCGAAGGAATGGACTAAATGACTTCCCTAGGCAAAGTGGTGGTATAATACTTCCTATCATTCTTCTATTAAAATGACTCCCTTTGAAGCAGCTTATGGTCGAACCCCACTCGCAATTGCAAAATATGTACCTGCCTCCTTTAAAGTTAATCATGTGGATATGAAATTGCTTCACAGAGACAAGATTATTCAGCTTTTAAAGGATAACCTCACAGCCACACAAGAATGAAGCAACAAGCTGATAAACACCGAAGTGAACGAGAATTTACCATGGGTGATTGGGTTTTCCTTCATCTTCAGCCCTATAAGCAAACTTATATAAAGGTCCCGTCCTCTATAAAGCTGTCTCTTCGATTTTTTGGGCCTTACAAAATATTAGAATGCATTGGACCAATTGCCTACCATTTGGATTTGCCGGCTAGCTCCAAGATACACTCAATTTTTCATGTTTCCTGCCTTAAAAAGAAGCTAGGTGAAGATGAGGTAGTGCAACACCATTTGTCGGACATCTTTGCTGTTGGTGAGGCTCAAGTTCAACCGCAAGTCATACTTGATCGTAGTGATTTAAAAAGGCGCTCGGGCGCTCGCCTAGGCGCTCGGGCGAGGCGAGGCGAGGCCCAAGCGCCTCACTAAACTCCCAGGCGGCGCGCTTCAAACAGGCGCCGCCTGGGCGCTCGCCCGAGCCCAGGCACTGGGCGCTTCGGGCGAGCGCCTGGGTTAACCAAGGCGACCGAACCAGGATTTTAGGTCTGGTTCGGTCCTGGTTCGGTCTCTGATAGTTAGTTGGTTCAATCGAACCAACTAAAATCGATATAAGTGAGAACCCAACCCTACCCCTCGTCGCTGCCGCTCCCGATCCCGATCTCGCTGCTCGCCGCTGTCGCTACTCGCAAACGCTGCCTCTGTCGCCGCTCGCGGCTCCCGCTACTCGCCGCTCCTGCTCCCGCTGCCGTTGCTCGTCGCTGTCGCTGCTCACAAACGCCGCCTCCGTCGCTGCTCGCGCCTCCTACTGCTCGCCGCTGTCGCTGCTCGCAAATGCTGCCTCTGTCGTCGCTCGCGCCTCCCGCTGCTCGCCGCTCCTGCTCCCGCTGCTCGCCGCTGCCGCTGTCGCCGCTCGCGCCTCCCGTTGCTCGCCGCTCCTGCTCCCGCTCCCGCTATCGCTGCTCATCGCTGTCGGTGCCGTTGTCGCCGCTTGCGCCTCCCCACTGCTGGCCGCTCCCGCTGCCGCTGTCGCCGCTCGCCGCTCCCGCTGCCGCTGTCGCCGCTCGCCGCTGCCACTTCCTCTTTTCTCAGTCAGCAAGCTCAGCACCCCTTTACACTTCCTTTTAACAGTATACGTATACTGTATACTATTAATATTATTAATTTTATTTAAAATAATTAATTTTCAATACTGTTAATAGATTAATAATATATTATTTTGATTTTAATACTGTTAATTTTATATCTTAGATTTTCTTAATTTAATAGCATATTTTTATTTAAAATTTTAAATAATTATATTTATTAATTATATTATATATTTTTATATTTTAGCGTCTCGCTTCGCTCGGGCGAGCGCCTAGCGCCTCGGGCGTTTTTGGACCTTGGCGCCTAGCGCTTTTTAAATCACTACTTGATCGACGGGTTGTAATGCGTCGTAGATATCTTGTGAGTGAAGTGCTGGTGTAATGGACCAACTTACCAATGGAAGATGCCACCTAAGAGTCCTACAATGCGCTGAAAGAGAAGTTCCCAGAGTTTGATGCTGCTCAGCCTTGAGGACAAGGTTGAATTGAAAGGGGGAGGAATGTTAGGATCCCTCTAAATTCTCTGAATCATAAACTAATATAAAGAACGTATTCTCTTGAGTTCTCTAGTTCTAGTAGGAGTCGTCTAGGCCTTCTAGCCGACTAAGGGTCTATTTGATATTTGTTATTTTGATTAGGAGTCCAAGTCCTAGTGGACTAAAAGATGAAAATCAATAAATAGGGATGTAACTGTTTCTTTTCGCTATCAATTCCAAGCACCATTTCAAAATTTCTAAGGGTAGCAAAAAAAAATCCACAAGCCATTCTTGGCCCTACATAATCTGTTTTATCTTCGAACACTTGTTATCACAAGTTAGAATTCGTCCATCAGCGATCTTTACTTAAAATTTGTCACAGCCTTCAATGTGGCAGGCCATTCGGGCAACAACCTTACTGTCCATAAAATTGTTAATGCTACTAGAATCAATTAAAATAGTAACAGGCTGATGTTTCAAAGTTTCTCCAACTTTCATAGTTTATCTATCACCCGTAAGTAGCCGGCCAATGCATGTACTGTATGTGTGATAGGTATAACATCATCATCAGTATCCATACCTTCATGATCGGAGTCCACATCGTCAACTTCCGGTTCCTCGATCGGTTCAATCATTAGAAGCTTCCCTTGTTTGCATCAGTGCTCCTTACTCCACATTTCATCACAATGCCAGCATAAACCCTTCGCTGATCTTTTCTTGAGTTCTTCTCGAGTTAGTCTTCGGGTGTTAGGATTTCGATTGGGAATAGATGTGGTGGGCGGCTTGTTGATTATCTGTTTGTTGTCACTTCTGTTTCGGCGATTCTCCATACTGTTTTTTTCCTCATGCAAACGTGCAAATGAGATCGCAGTTGTCATAGTGCGGGGTTGGCGGGCCTTGACTTCACATTGGATATCTAGATTAAGTCCTTCAATAAATGTACCCACCAGTCGCCGTTCAGACCAGTCTCTGGCTTGATTTGATAGTCGCTCAAATATACTCTGATATTCTAGCACTGTAGAAGTCTGATGAATTTTGGTGAGCTGCCCATCAACAATCTCGTATTTAGATGGTCCAAAGCGAACAAGAAGTCCTCTTTTGAATTGCTCCCACGAGGGGATCTCGTGATAGGTTTCGTACCAATCATACAATTGGATTGCATCTCCATCTAGTTGGATTGAAGCTATTTCCACCTTGGCTTCTTTTGGAGTTCTGTGAAAATAAAAAAAATTTCTGCCCTAGAGATCAAACTAGTCGGATTTCTATCTTCCCATCTTAGAAATTCCACTTTCATATGTGGGTAGCTTGTGTCATGTTCTTGGTGCCTTGTTCCTGTGTCTCCATATTGGTTCAGTGCCGAACTTGAGTTTTCATTTTGTTGAAACTTGTTGAAGTTCTCCAATAGGCTCCTTTTGAAATCGTTAAGGGTTTCCTGCAGCCAGTTCTCAATTCTGGCTTCCAAAGCTTCTAGCTAAGCTTTTAGTGAATCGTCGGTAGCCATTGCGTAGGACTGCAAATATGTAATTCCCAACTCGTTTCTGGTGTTGGGTCAAGGGCATCAACACTGCCCTATTCAGTGCGGCTGTTGTGATGCTGATCGGTGGCAGCGCTGTGGGCGTGAAGGGTGGCTGCGAGGATGTCGATGAAGCCCTGGACGTCAAGAGGCTGAGAAGCAGCGATGGTGGCGTAGCTGGGAGCAGCGTCGTCGAGGGTTCACTGTGGTCGTTGCATAGAGGGTGCTGCTGCCGAGGGCTGGGAGGCAGTGATGCTCGTTGTGGTCGCTACATGGAGGGATCATTGCTGTTGAGGGTTGGGAGGCAACGATGGTGGTGTAGCTGGGAGCAGCGTCGTCGAGGGCTCATTGCGGTCGCTGGGAGGTTGTGGGAGTGTCGAGGGTCTCTGCGAAAACCCTAGCCCTCTATGCGGCAGTGTCTATTGTATGTATAATACACGTGCTAGACATCCATTGTTATAGGCTTATAGACACGGATGACTCTAGGCATGTTGACAAATTACTCGTCTCTGTTCCTCCATGTTATCTTGTGGAACATGTGAAGTTCAATCTGATAAAGATAGATTTTGGTGAGTTTCCAGAACATATATTCTCTTGAACCACAGCTAGAACTAGATTCTTAACATGCCTATGTCAACAGCCATGTTGAACCCAAGCGAATGTTGGATGCTGTCAGCATGAATTGCCACACTATAGAGCGTTTGTTCTTCGAGTCCTCTGATACTGGCAAGTTCCATTTTTCTATTTGCTTCAAAATCGTATATTTTATACTCCAACATGCTTGTTAAAAACCCTTCTATCTTTTCAGGCAGAGATTATAGTTTGAACACCCCAACTTGCACTGGTCTGGTACATGGCTGTCCAAATCTAATGTCGCTTGCTCTAAGGGGGTTTAAGCTACATGATCACAAAGTCAGTATACTGATCAAGGTAGTCCTCTGTTCTTCCTTTTCTTTAGTAAACGCATTAAGCTGTTTCTGCATGAGCTAGAAGTTCTATATCTACTCAGCATTTTCTTATACTGTCAAAAAATGTCACAAACTTACCTGATTGGACTTGATTAAAAATTACTTGTAAATAACTATTTTCTGTTTGAACCTATCACAAACGTAACCATATCCATGTTATGACTTGGCTTGCCAGAATATATATCTAACATGGAACTTCAGATTTTTCAAAGCATTATCATCTACATAAGTGAAATATAAACTTCAGCGCTCATGGAAATGATTCTTTGCTTACACAGGGACTTCGCCACCTTAAGTTTGTTGATTTTTCAACATGTTATTCAATTACAGGGACCTTCTTGAGGTTTGAATTTTTATTGCATCTGCTGCCTCTATTCTTTTGATTTGTGCTTATGCCAGCTTTCCATTGCCTTTGTCACTTTCGAGTTGTATTTCACAACTTTCACTTGTTCAGGAACCTTGGCAGTGACATGAATGCTCACATGCTGGAGGTCTTGATCTTATGCGACTGTTTGCATCTTAAAGAAGTGAGAATATAGAATGCCAGATTACTCACTTCATATCACCAATGGACAACTTTCATTTGTACTCCAGTGTTATGAACATGTGGTGTTTCATATCTGTGCTTTATATAGGTTGAAGTGTCACATTTTTTATCAGCCCTGCTTGCTGGTGACTTCAAGCTCCTCAGATATTTGGTAGGTCACTGAGGCATGTGCTTTGCTTTCTACTAGACACGAAGATTCCTGTCAACTAAAATTTTCAGTTTGTAAGCTGACAACTGCTTTGTGCTTGGACTGATTGGAGCAGGATATTTCAAACAAAGATGGCCTCTCTGCTGACAATGACTGGAACTATAGATGCTATAATCCATGGTAACAGTGTTATCTTTGAGAAACTCCAGTCTTCCAGGAAACTAATTCCTATTTTTTAAAAATTTTAATGTTGCAGTGCACTGCTGATATCAGATTTTATGAAACAAAGACCTGAAGTCTGTTTGCTAGCCAAATTTCCAGGAGGGAGGTCTCTCTTCCTTTCTCTTTGCCTTTATGTGATACAGTATATATTTTGTCGAAGGAATTTCTCTTTGAAAACTTTTTTTTTCTACATTGCATCCATTCATATTGCAGCTTGGTTGATGCCAATCTCCTCAGTGACGGTCAAACAAGCTGTGGGATGGGCTTGACAGTGATGCATAATGTCGCATTTGATCCATATTGGACAAATATATCTGAAAACAGCTACAGCAGTGATCAGGGCAGCGGGAATGGAGGAGATTCCCCTTATCCAATACCATTTTATGATGCTGATAGCTTCTATGAGTTGGAGTTCCCATGGGAGATTGATTAAGAAAACTCGATGCATCATCAACCATCTGGAGAGGTATGGATATCCACCTACCCTTCTGACTGGGATTAATGTTGAAATGGTCTTGAAATTTAGTAACATAATATTTCAAATCGGACAACCCAAAACACAACACAAATGTCATCTGATTTCTATTTTTATTTTTGCCTGAACGGTTGCAACTTCACAACTATTTCAACATGTACTGCACTTTCAACTTTAACAACTCCTCAGGATCTTTGGATGCCAGCATCTGCTAATTTTGTTATCGGTTTCACATCATGAAACAAGTCTACTACTCAATTCCCTTCATGATAGATGTGAGAATCCTTACAGAACAAAGATGATGGACTATCTTGATACATTTAAGTGGGCGAATGCCAACCCTTGAACACCCATCACCTTTCATACGTGAAATCACCATAGCAGAACCTCCCTGAACCCTACATGCTGACAGTTAAAATCCTTAATTTCCCATTGATCACCTTCCCATGCACCTCCCTATTTACCTATACCAACTGAAGATGAACAAAATTTAGAACATCCCACTTCCAGATTCTTCCTTCTGAAATACACGTAACAAATTCAGCACCGGCTAATCTACAAGAACTAAGAGCCCCATCAAAACTTCAGCTTGATTTCTGTCTTGTGGAACCGACAAAAGGAGGAAGTTATGACAAAAGAAAGGTCTTAATTTATTTTTTTTAGCATCTGATGTTGTAACTAAGCATTATAAATCTTGTAGTAAAGGCTTTGAAGTTTGCTGAGTCTCATTATAATGACAAAGAGGTCAATTTGTGCGCTTAATGATTATGTTAGACTTGTAATTTTGGTGGCCTTCAGCTGAAGTCTATTCTTGCAAACAGGTGCGCCAATACATTCATGGAGAACGATTGACAATGGGGATCGAAGGCAGTCACTGCATGTAAATCTAGGCAGTCCGTATCATTGTCCTTTTATTCTGTATGTAATTTGTTATTGCTGGCAATAATCCGTGTGCATACCCAAAGAATTCAAGCTTGCGGAAACCAAATACGAGCTTCAAAAACACAATGGTATAATGATGATAGTATTGTTATTATTGACCAATGAGTTTTGCCACTGCCACAAACAACACAGATCACACGTCACAAACAAAGATGGGGGACGAGAACAAGTTCATCACCATCAGTTGCCGCTGCCGGGGTACAAGGAGGCCAGATCGGTGCCATCGGGGAGGGTGGTGGGGACGACGCAGGCCTGCGTGCACATGTTGGCGCAGGACACGCTGCCGACCTGGCCGTTGGCGCAGCGGTTGTAGCAGTCGTCGAAGCAGAGGGCGGTCGCGGCCGGCGCGGACGACGCCACCAGCATGGCGACGAGGAGGAGGGCAACCACCGCCATCTTGGTGTTCGCCATTGCTGCTACGGTGGAAGCCGACCTCTGGTTGGTTCTGATGGAACTGGAAGTGATGATTGCGTTGCTTGCGGCGAAGGAGGGGGTGGAGGGGTGGCGTCCTTATAAGGTGGCGAGGAGCGGTACGATCTGGGAATCGCCAGATTGACGTGGGGAGGAGCGCGTGGTTCCGCCCACGGATCGCGCTCCACCGAGCGACGAGTTCCGAGCGCTGACTTGGTCCACTTTGTTCCGTTGTCGATTGCATGTTTCTCGGTGCAACCCGAGTCGGACTTGTGTGATTGCAGGTCTTCGGTAACGGGGTCGAGTTAATTTTTTGCTGTGGCATTTGAAGCTTTGCAATTACATGACGATATAGAGACTAATTACACATACACTTACGTAATTTTACTGTCTATAGATTTGCATCATCCGTTGCAGTGTTGCTTTTGCATGTTTGTCACGTGGAAGAGTTTATTACATAACATGAATGGCAATAAGAGCAGCTTTAATAATGATTTAACAAATAACTTAAATTTTATTGATTAACGAGGAATATGAACATGATTTAATTGTCATATTCTTTAATAATGAAGTATGTGATTTTTTTTTTCATAATAGATAGGTATTAATTTTCAATTGATCCCTTTTTTTTTTGTTACATCCAATATTTTGTTAAAATAATAGATAGGTATTAATTTTTAATTTAAGTCAAAGCTGCTTCCTCGAAGTGATGCGAAAGATCTGCGACACATATCTGCATAAAGTATTCTGTTCTACCTATGTATTAGCAACTTGGTTACGGAAGTTAAGTCTTCCTTGAAATCCTGTCTTTGCCTTTTCTTTTATTATTTTGATCGATATTCCTCAGAAATTATTGTGACCATCAGTAGTAAATAAATGAATTTTAATATAAATAACTATTGTTGCAATTTAAAATTTGATTTAGAGGGTCCCTATTTATAGTTATTGATATAAATAACTATTGATGTCTTTGCAACAGATATCAATCCTATAAATATGTGGTGTACATCATAACCCTATAATAACTATCCATATAATCCTATTTATAGTTATGGATAAAAGATTATCAAATTAATCCTATAAATCAAGAGATACAAAATCTCTCTAGTAAGAGATACGAAATCCTATATAGGGATGCGAGATCTTTTTTACTTAGTAACTTTTACGGATAGTAGGTCGACAGGTAAATATTACGATCCAAGCCTAATAGGTTAATTGATCTATCAATCTTGTTTAACCTAAATCACTAATTAAAATATATAAGGTAAAATTAATAATTATATATTTATTAAATCTTTATAAGTTAATTTTAATTTTACCTTTCTGATGTGAGACTAATCAAGATATTATATGAATCATAGTATTATCTTCATGATGTACCTCATCATCGCCACATTGCTCGGGACGCTTGCCATGTAGTTCATCTCATTGATTGTGGTACAGAAGAATAATTTATTATGCCCTTAAAGCATACTAAGTACAAATACTTAATTTCTTTAAAAATCTAGCAAATGAACTAAAATTATAATTAAGCTTATCATAATTGTCATAAAATTTATCACGTTTATTAAATTTGATAATTTTAACTTTTTATCTAATTATCTTTTGATATTATTTATGTATATGTATACCTAAAGGTGTCAATAGCTTGAGACCTTACATAGTTATGTCTTAACAGGTAATCTATAAGGGTGATAAAATATCTCTCTCTACTAAAACAAAAAAACTTGGAGTGACATATAAATGTAACTATATATAATCTCAACGAATTTATGAAACTGTGTTTCATTCCAATATTTGATTATGCAAATTCAAAATTCATATTAATTCTGCACAAATCATCATATAAATTTTAAAAATTAATTTTCATGAAATTATAAATATGTTGAGTTTACAATCATAAAAAAAGAAATAATATCTTATGAATTCTAGATAAAAAAAATTAAATTTTTAGAATTATACGAACATAACATTAGAGTCATCTTCAAGCATAAGTGACAAATACTAAATACTATTATTTTCGCTTTAAAATAATTTTTTATAATGATGAATATTTCATAATTTTTATATTAAAATAATTTTTTATTATTGGTAATATAAGTTAAAGCATAATTTTCAATTTATTAAATATTAGAAAAGAATTTATGTAATGTTTGATTCGAAACATATAAAGATCATACTAATACCTTTTTTTTTCGAACCAAAACTCAAGTAATTTATATTTTAACTTTCTTTTATTATTACAAAAGTAATATTTTACTATGATTTTTTTTATAAGTTTAAATAGCATTTAAAAACTCAAGTAATTTATACTTTAACTTTCTTTTATTATTACCTACTTCTTAAGTAGTACCCAAAATATTATGAGTATTTCTTACTTTAATCTTAATTCTTCTTATACACATATTACTCTTCAGCTCATTTAAATTTTATTTATTATTAATTTTATTATAATAAATTTTAAATGGGCCAAACTAAGAATAAATATGATTAAAAATAAATTATACAAGAAACGAATCAACTATATTTATACCTAAAGTTCTTAAGGTTATAATTTTGTCAAGCATATCGAGGATATAATGTTGAATTCTCTAAATACTATTATATTAAATTTCAATCAATTCTTTCATTAAAATATCAACTAATGATTTGTTAATAAATTTAAATTAATTTTTAAACATTCCAATGCGTTAGTTATGGATTATATAATAAGATTGAGTCATTTAGACCTTTTACAATAATTTATCATAATTATTTATTTTGTAGAACTTTCAATAGTTATCATTGTGATCTTTTCAACTATCTAATCAAGATCTAAAATACCTAAAATAAATTGTATATGCTCAAGTTATTTATAATAATTTAATATAAAAATATATTGATATTTATAAGAATGTAATGAAGAAAATATCATTATAATAAAATAATTTATGTGCAAAATAATTTAATAATAATAAATCATAATAATTATTGAACATTAATCAACATACAAGAAAGCTCATGTGGTAACTACAATCATTAATCATATCTATATGTGAAAAATAAATATTATTATATAATTTTAAACTTACGCATATGAATAACTAAACAAATATTCATGAATAATAATTTAATGTTTACTTATCATATATAAAGTTTTATCAATATGTTATATGAGAATATTATAAAAGAAAACTATAATTTATATATTTTTTTAAATCTTATATAGAAACTTAAATTAGATCGATCAACTCTATTTAATTGGATAAATCTAGAGTTGGACTATATAAATTAGGCTTATAGTTTTAGGCTAACCATCTACGCCCATCAAAATTAAAGTTGATCAAAGTAAAAAAAAAATGATCAAAATTTGACTTTCTTCGAGTCCGTTCAAAATATTTGATTGAAATGAATCAAATTATTTAATTTTATAATTAAGAATATAAATAAATAATAATATTTTTTAAAAGGTAAAACTATAAATTTACATGGGATATATAATAAAAATATTCGATTTCGGAAGGGCATAACTAGAAAAATAAAATTTAAGAACACAGATTGAAATTTTTGCAATTTTTGAAGGATAAAAATATTTTTTATTAAAAAAAACTTTAATTATCATGATGTCATCATTATTGCATTCCATCACGCACACACGCGCAGGTCTTACGAACGATACATCGATCATCCGCCCGCTTGTGCGTCGCCCATAGTGATGCACCTCTTTTTATGTGGCCAACTGACAATCTAATAGCCCATGCGGCCATGTCCGGCCATCACGTTCCTCGACGGTGAAACACCTTCACCGTGATGCACCTCTTTTTATATGGCCAACTGACAATCTAATAGCCCATGCGGCCATGTCCGGCCATCACGTTCCTCGACGGTGAAACACCTTCACAGTGCACTGCCAATCGAGCACAACCAATGAAGGAAATCTTGTAAGTAATTAGAAAATTGTCCCATAAAGAACATGACATCTTGTAAAAAATCTTATCGTGATCGTTGAAGACGTTCTGATAAGAAGCAGCATCACCAGAAATCTGTTGCTTAAAACCAGAAAGATTTTGAAGATGACAGGAAGAACCATCAAGAGATCTCTAGTTGTACCTAATTCTTGCAGCAGCATTGAATGCAGTGGTGATGTTAAGATTCTGCCCGGTGGAGATTTAGTAGTGACTTCCCTCAGCAGACGACAGCTGATCATTTGAAGCCTTCAGCACTGTATAGTTCAGAAAGCATGGTTGCATGGAAACTCATGACATTCAAAAATTAAGCTTAGCCCTAACCCCAATCTGACGATAGAATCGATACAAGTCCTACATCACCATAGCATAGGATGATATGATGTACGACATGCATATAACTCGGAAACATATAACAGTGGTTTATATATAATAATAGGACATATATTGGATTTTTTTTCCAACACATTTACATTTTAACGAAATAGAAAACACCACATTTCGAAGCTGGAAATAACGAAAGGCGTCGGATGGACTACGAATCGAGGAAGGAGAAATCGCCACCGTCCAACTGCTGCTCCCACAGCGGCAAATCACCTAGCCCGATCAAGTCCTCGCCGAGTTCGCCCACCAAAAAGGGCTCCTCGTCCAGCCCAAACTCCATCTCCGGCACCACCGGCTCCCCCAGCCAATCCGCTGCCGCCACCGCCTTCCCCTTGGCGGATAATGAAACATCGAGCACGGAGGACGGAGAGGGCGGCGCCGGCGCTGACACGCAGGACGACGAGACGGAACTCGCGGCCGAGGCGCCGTCGTCCCAAGTGTCCCAGAGTTGGTGTAGCAAGCCACGTTTCTCCTCCTCGATCCGACACGCGGCGGTTCGGTAAGCCTCGGCTGCCGCCTCGACGGTGGCGTAGGTGCCGAGCCAGAGCCGGACGCCACGGATGGGGTCCCTGATCTCCGCCGCCCACTTCCCCCACCGCCGCTGCCGCACACCCTTCTGCGTCTCGGTAGCAGCGGGGTTGCAGGAGGTCACCGATTTCGGCGGCGCCTTCAGGTGTGATGTGATGGGGGGTTTTAGGATTTTAGGTGCAGGGACCAAAGCGATCTCGTACAAAACTCGCTTCCTCTTCTTGGGTCTGGTCCCAAGTTTCTCATCCTCGTCTTCGCCGGAGGAATCGGTGGCCTCGGGGTCGGCGAAGAAGACACGAACCTTTCTCACCGCCTCAATCCGACCGTTCGTCTTCTTCCATAAATCGGGCTCGAAAGAAGCCGACCCCTCCGATTTCTTCGTCGGATTCGAACCGGACGAGTCCAACTGATCCAGTTTCTTCGTTTTCCTGTTCCTCCTCATCCGGCCTTCACACAAAGCACCCATCTTTCTTCTTTCTTCTCTTCCTCGGAACCACAACCCGAACGCGTCAAGTGAAGGCAAGGCCAAAACGCCGATCTAAGTGCAGGAAACCCAAATACTTCACTCCGAATCCAAAACCAGCCCTGCAAAATCGGAACACTCAGGTGAACATCTCGACCCATCGATACAAAGTACAACCTTGTTTTCTCTGGATAGATCCCTACCAGGTGTGTTTGAAGCGCATGGAATCCAGGAGCAGCAGCCTCTGTTTCATGCACACTGACGAAGAACAATGAGGAGGAGAAGGAAGTGGGTCAAACCTCTTTAGAACCGGTCGTGCTCCGTTCGCTGCGAAGAGGAAGCAGAACAACAACAACAACAACAACAGCCGACCGGCGACAACCGACATATATCTACTGGTCAGGTCTCTCTTCTTCTCAGTTGCCTTCTCGGAGCTATAAAGGGGCCACTTTTTCCCGCTGCTGCTGCTGCGATGGGCGTGGTCGGGGGGCGAGCTTATTATACATGAATATTAGTAAAAAAGGAATCTCTTACTCTCCATGGGCTACGCGCTTCGATACCTCCCTTTTGATTGGAAGTCGGTCGCACATGGGCACTGGTGCGGCAGTCGTATGGCAGGTAGATGAGCGGGTACGAGGCGCAGACGGAGCGTGGATGTCATGGGTCATGGCTGGCATGAGGGCATGCGGTGACAGTACATGACATCAACCTCTGTTTTTCCGAGTCGGTTATTACCCATTCTTTCTCCCCTCCCTTATTTTTTTTTTGGTCTCTTGGGATCATTTAATTGGTTCAGGAAGCGGTGGCGCGCAGGCCAAGTCTCGTTTCCCGCCAAGGATCGCGAAGCCGCGAGGACAAAGCGCGCGAAGACGTCATCCATTCTCCCGCCAAAAGTCTTGCCGCGCCATTCGAGAGCGGCGGGAACCTCCTCCCAGCGACACGTAAGCAATCTCACGTATATTTTACTTATCAACGGCATAAAATACGCATCATTTTGGTTTGATTTCCGATTTTTTTATGTCACCATTATCTTATTGTTTAATATTAAGATATTATTGTCCGTAAGATTTTTGTTCCGTACTGTGACTAAATTGAATTATCGTCCATCAGCTACGTATTTGCCGAACAACATGGTTTACATACAAGCAATCTTTTAGTGTAGATAGAATCGGAACTTTTTTCTATAATAAAAAATAAAAATAAAGGGCCTTTTGGAAACTAATTAAACCATTTCTCTATTGTTTATTGCATGTTCAAGTAAAATGGGATTTTCTTCTTTTGTTTATCCAATCGACTTGTATCAAGTCAACTCAGCAATTAATTGCATTCGAGATGAATATGGATAGAAATATGGGCGAATTTCCCCAAAAAAAATCTCTTCGGAAAATACCATATTTTTAACATTATCTAATAACGCTGTCGTCATGCTCAATAAATAAATGAAAGGATCCAAACAAGACTGGGGTTGAGCCCAGAGATGCTTGGACTCCTTTGAATGGGCCAAATTGTTGATACCCAATGCATCTCAGAAATGAGAACAATTCCATGCCTTGAGTTCAAGGTAGTCCAAACATTGCAGAGTCATGATTGCTCTTGCAACATCAATGTGCATTTGTGAGCATCACCTGCCTGCCTTGAAAAATGTGTCAGATGCAGGTGTCCCTAACTAAGAAACAGGTAAACTCTACAAAGCCCAGATGTTCATGTTTAGCATAACAGGCAATTAATTCCATGAATCAATTCTCAGCATCAAGCCATATATATGTATAGGGAGTCACCAATTCATGTACTGGGAGTTCAGATCACTGAGTAATAACCAAACCTTTCATGAAGAAGTGAATGCCTCCTATTTTTGGAGAATGAAATAAAATGATGTAGTAGCAAAAACATGTCCAACTTCAGATATACAACTTGAGATGCAATTCAAAATATACCTTATTTTTTGAATCTCAAATTTATATGGAAAAGAGGTCCTTCATACACAAGTTCTTTTGGTTTAATGGCTACTAATCCTTACATTGGAGGAATGTAACTGCATTAAGAATTTATTTCTCTCTTTGTTGAACACTCTCTTAGGCAACTGAACACTAAGGTTTTTTTCAAGAAAATGAAGTATTCATTTCGTTTCGGCGCTTACAGCAGGATTTGGAACTTTTTTTTTTTTTTTAAACTGTGGACATTGCATCCTGGCCACTATAATATATCTTCCAAGACTCAATTTAATTAGGTTAATATGTGCTGATGGAGTATAATATGTCTTTTCCTAATGATTTCTTATGAAATTTTCATACGGAAAAAGAAATAATGGATCAGATCCGAACTCTTGTGTAGTGTGCCTGCAAGCACTAGAAATTCTGCAGATATTTTGTTGGCTTGTGTTTTAAATGTTCAAAAAGCATGATAGATATGGCACAAGTAAATATAAATCTGAAATAGCAGGCAAATCAAGTAAATGGACCCTCATGCCCAATAATTACATGGTATCATATTGGTAATTGGTGTCAGAAACCTATTTATAGCTTGTGCTCACAGGTATAGTTCAGGTAATATTTACCCTGTGAACATTACCTACCATCTTATATGCATACATATATTTACCCTGTGAACAGCAGCATCTTGGTGTGAAATGTTAGATGGTCTTGAACTTATTTTCAGAGAATGGTATTGCCTACATGAGTCTCATTTCCTCCAACAGCATAGAAATTGATCCGAATCATTTCTTCTTCTTCTTCTTCTTCTTCTTCTTCCACTTAATGGCCTATTATATTGATCCTACTCCTGGTGATCTAAACCACAAGAATTTATCATTAGATTAAGAGCACACATTTTGATCCATATCTGGAGCCTAATTATTGTCTATCAAACAAACAAATGCTTTGATTAGAGTTTCAGTTTCATACTTTCAAATGAACAGCCCTCACAGAGTGATGTCACTGTATTGAATGTATAAAGATCAATCAAAACTAAGCAGCTTATTTTTCTTGGATGTGGATTAATCCACCTCCCATTTGGTTATAGAATTACTGAGGGATGTAGTAGTACCAATCAGGACTTGGGTAACTCCATTTGCTGCTCAAACTAATAATTGCCTTTGTTATCTTCTCCTTTTTCTTATTTACTGTGTAGGGTGCAACTTCACATCAATCATGTGCTGCACTTAGGAGCTATGTCTTGACGAAGAGTGAAGGCCATGCTCAATCCACCTGAAATAAAAAAAGGCAGCAGATATGTGGCTGTAAAAACCCACAACCTGCAGTTATATGTTGAGCAATCAATCCCTTGGCATGCTTCAGTGCTTAGTATCTTCATGCTGCATGCATCACAAGAACTTCTGAACCATTCTACAAGCCAAACAAGATGATGACTTATTCATGCAGCAGGGTGGAGATGTGGAAGAAAGAGAAGTTAAGCCCTCATCATTACTGAACATGGTGGTTGGAATCCTCATGACAATATTCTATGTAGCCAAATTGTAGTAGATTATTGAGATGCTTGATTAAGGATGTGGCAATAAGATTTGTGCCATTCTATATTCACTGGTCAAATATGTTTTGTGGCAGCTTCAATGATCTTGCTAGCATTGTGGCAACCACACTCCTTCCACTATAAAATAGAAATAAATCAATTAAAATACTGGACTGCAAAATTGGCTGAAACATCTCAGATAATCCATGTAATTTTGAGGGACCATCTCACTTTATTTGATGTCAAGCAATATTACACAGTGGAAAACTTACCACCCTAATCATCCATTCTCCTTGGATGAGTCTTAAATCAACTCAAAAATCCACACAGAATAGTTTAAACCAGCTTGCCTCGATTTATTGAATGCAGTTTCTCGGGTTTCGAAGTAAATGATGTCAACTTGAGTGTTTTCCAAGTTGTGCATCCTACAAGTGGAATCATTTTAATGCATGCTTTAGCTTAGCAATACGTATAATAAGATTCTACTCCCTCAGAATATTAAAAGAACTGTTTTCCCAAATCAATCAACCCCCAGCGCGGGCACCCACAAACACAAACACAAACACAAACACAGCAGCTAGCCATGCATTAACTTCCCAGTGAAACCATTACAACTGCTCCAAATGTAAAGAGTCATCATCTCTCTGCAAGTATTTGCTTGTGATGTGCTGTGGACCACAAGAGAGATTGATCCCTACATCATGAGGTCATTGATGTTGCTAAGGCTATCAATTACACTGAAAGGACTCTCACCAACTTGGGAATGAGATAGTGGAGGATATTTCATTTCGAGTCTCTTCCCCACATTAGTTGGACCTGCTTGTCGCCCAACTTTTTCTCAAAACCAGTCTTGGAAACCTAGAAATGGTTTCAGGGGCAGCTGGGGTCATTCCCCGATCAGATGGCCCAACATCAATCTCATATTCCATGGTCCATTCCCCCTGGCTCAGTGTGTACCGTGTGCAGATTGGCAGCAAACAAGCGTTGGAGTTCTGCAGGAGTGAAGCATCTTGTCATCCCATACGCCAATCCACTGTAGCAGGGACTCGCGCGGTCATCATCCCCGGCTTGAGTGAGCAGGAGAAACATGGAAGTCAGAGGACCTATAGACTGTCATGTGTTTTTGGTGCTAAGAGAGGAGGGCGGTAACTGGAACAAACTCCTTTTGCAGAAATCCAGCTACCTTGTCCTTTATCTTCGCCTTGCATCATTACTGCATCCATCCCCATCCCTGCTAAATTTAGGTCTTCACAAGGTTCAGTGGCCTTTATTTGCCTGCGGACAGAACCTATGCCCACTGGGGCTCTCTCTCTCTGTCTCTCTCTCTCTCTCTCTCTGTGTCAGTTCCATGTATCCTGCAGGTGGCTTTCAGCAAAAGCTATAACTGGGAAAATACCAAAAGCTACAGGCTCCAGCTGTTTTAGATATCCATCCATTTGCCTATCACTTCCAAGCTCTCTCTCTCTCCCTCTGTTTTATGTAATGGCTCCAAATGCTACCTAATAGTAGTGACTGAGAAGTCAATTTCAGCAGGGAACACCACAGCTTCGCGACACAAAGGTCCATGAAGAGGATCCACTTCATCAACAATTTATTTGATTGCAAGAAAGCAATTTTAAGAGTAATTATTTATTCATAGCTCTGAAGAAAGAGAAGTTGCTCTGTTGTTTTCCTTTCATCTTCTCCTAACACCGGAGCAGGTTTTCCAAGAAGCGACCAACCGCAATGGATTTTACCATTGTGATTTGACAATTCTGCAAAGAATACTGAAATGAAAGGGCAAAACATGAACCATAGCTTCGGACCACCACCAACTATTAGAGAAAGTAGAAACTTTGATCTCAATCTCCTACCTGAATACACATACATGGGATTAACTTTAGCCCAAAGTCACTGTGCACACATGAAACTAGTCCTCACCTAGCATCTAATACACTACCCGGAGATGGGGAATCATGAATTATAGAACTCTTCAATCCTCTGCACAAGACAGAGGAAAGAAAGATCAAAGAAAAAGAAGAGGGCGATGTAAAACAAATTCCTCAAGGCAAACTCGAGAAGCCTCTCACTGCTCTTCATTATATCTGTCACTTCCTGGTTTGGATCATGATGGAGGTGGAAGCGCCAGGCCGAGACCGCTCGTGCACGCGACAGCATCCCAGCTGCTGACGTCGCACCGCGGCGCCGCCTCGTGCTCGGCGGGCCGAGCCGACCGGGACGCCGGTTCGAGCCCGAGGGTAAGCTCCAGACTGATCTCCCCCTCTTCCTGCTCCGCCTCCTCGGCCCTCTGCGGCTCCCCCTGGCTCACGTGCGACGCCTCCTCCGCGGTGTCCGCCGAGGCCATGCTCTCGTTCTCGCGGCACTCCGCGTCTTCTCCGCCGGCAGCGGCTGCCGACGGGCCGGGCTCGGTCGCGTGGCTGGCCGCCGACTCGTGGCTCCGAGCCCGCTGGAACTCGGGCAAGGGGGTGTCCGGCCTCGCGGTCTTGGCGCCGGAGCGCTTGAAACGGGAGCGGGGCTTGTTGACCTTGTGGAGCTCCTCGGCGGCCCGGGCGGCGGCGGCGGCGGAGTCCTTGGAAACATGGCGGATGTCGTAGGCCTTGAGCGGCGGGGCCGGGGTGGAGGCTGCCTTCTCGTAGGGGATCTGGACGATAGGGGCGCCCTTGAGCACCGCCTCCACCGCCGCCTGGCAGAGCTGCCAGCTGCCGGACCACAGCAGCCCGACGGAGCCGTAGATCGGGTTGACGATCCGGCCGCAAGCCTCGTACAGCAGAGATCGAAATATGGCTGCAAGAACACATCCAGAAATCTTTCAGCATTCCGATTGATCACTATCGACGGCAGCAGAAGCGGCACGCAACAGGACTCAATACTAACCGGGGCGGAGGTGGTCGGGGCCGGCGTTGATAAGGTTCATGAGGCCAGCGCGGCCGTAGAACTTGGCGAGGAAGACAGTGGCATTGGCCTGCGACTCAGGGCTCTTGATCCACTGCAGGCAGGGGCGGATGCTGCAGTTCTCGCTGCACCCCTTGCGTAGAACCCGGCATCCGTTGCAGCTCATCCTCATGGCGTCTATCCCACGTGCTCAATCGACCCGAGAGAGAGAGAGAGAGAGAGAGAGAGAGAGAGAGACAGAGCGAGGAAGCCAAAAGAGAGAAAGAAGACGATGTGATGTGATGGAAGCGGCGAAGGGAGGGGAGGGGTGTATTTAAGAGGCTCCGAGGCAGAGCAGCCGTGGGTTTCAAGTTTGGCCTCTGGTTTCCATGGAGTGGGAAACCGGCTTTGGTACCTATTCTATAATATTTTTCAATAAAAATTAAAAGTAAAAAAAAAAAATATGAACTTTTTTTTTAACCTCCTTCCTCATCCATTGGAGTCGGCCCCCATGTCGTCACTCTCTCACTCAAATCTCTTGTTAGATTTCAGGAATCTTTCAAAGAGAGAGAGAGAGAGAGAGAGAGAGAGAGCAGCGCGTGGCCGCCACGTTCGGACCACACAGGATTGCGGCTGCGTCGCCGCACGTAAGGTAAAATGGATTGAAACTGAAATGCTTACTCCCTTGTCATCATGCACAGGGCCTGATCGACTCACCCTGGAACAGTTCGGGGGGTGATGTGGTGTCTCAGGGAGCGGATGCGCGGGGGCCTCCCCGGAAGGATTCGGGGGTGATTCGATCGGGAAGGGAGAGCCCGGAATGGGATGGGGGCGAAACCAAAGACGGAAACCATACTCCCGGTTTTGTGGAAGCCTCGTACGAGCACGCAACCCCGTGGGTTTCCTCCTGGTTTTTGGGTCGGCATCTGTGGGCGCGCAGTCGACGGTTTCCTTCTCCAGCCTTCCTCCTCGCCCTCCCTTCCACGCGCGTTGGACACCAAGTCACCACGCCGCGGCCGTTTGTGGCGTGACTCCAATTCCTTCCGACGAAGATGGCCTTCCCTCGCCACGTGTTAGGGATGGAGGAATAAACGATAAAAATAAAATATTATGATGTAATTAAAAATAATAATTTCAATTAAAAAAGATATAATATTTAAATAAAAAATAATACATAAAATACTTACGTGATATTCTTTAAATACACATATATTATTTCATAATTATGATCATATTTATAGTATCCAGTAGTAATTATCTCACTCCATCGTATCATTTATAATTGAGTTAGGTATAGAAATTATCATATAATTTTTAGATCATGGCCACTATTTAGAACATGACAATTACCTAGATAATCATAATGAATCAATTCTCAATACTCTCCCTTGATTTATAGTTACATACATCGATTTACGATATGAAATAAACATATTTCTAAATAATAAACGACTTAGTCAGAATATCCGTAATTTATTCAGCTGTTCCACAATACTTCATTGCTATGGCTCTATTTGCTACAAGATCCCGGATGAAATGATAGTGTATCTTCATATGTTTTATTTTTCCATGAAATATTGGATTCTTCGTTATTACAATTGTGGCTTTGTTGTCATAAAATATTTCCGTTGCTTCTTTTTGTTCTTAATGAAGATCTTTAAAAGGTCTTCTAAACCATATTGCTTGATAAGCTACTGATGATGTTGCAACTACATATTTTACTTCAAATGTCAATAATGCAGTTTTCTTTCTATCATCTGAAGCTCCTATCCAATCATTGTTAGTGAAACCAAATAATTTACGTTTAAAAGTATGAGAATATCAAATGCTATAATCTATAGTTCCAGTAATATAATATAAAATTCTTTTAATAGCTCCGACATGATGTATGCTTGGTTATGCATAAACCTATATACTACACCAATAGAGAATGTAACATCTGGTTAAGTATGAGTTAGATAAATCAAACCTCCAACCAAACTTCTGTAGCATCTTGCATTTGTTATGTATCATTTTCAAATTTAAATTTCTCATTTCACAATTAATTATGTTAGATTTTTTGAATAGATCCATTACATATTTTCTTTGTGAAATAAAAATTTAATCTGATTTTCGTTTCACTTCCAACTCAAGAAAGTAATACAGTATACCTAAATATGACATTTCAAACTTATTTATCATGTATTTTTTAAATTTTACCACAAAAGAGTTATATATATATATATATATATATATATATATATATATATATATATAAACATAAAACTAAATTATTATAATATTATATTTATTTTCATTCTTTAGATAAAAAGTAGGTTCATTATTGCTCATCTTAAATTCATTTTGATAAAAATAATAATCAATTTTACTATACCCTTGAAGCTTGTTTAAGCCAATAAAGAACTTTCTTTTATCTTATATATCTTTTCTTCATATCTTTTAACTAAAAAACCTTCCGGTTGAGTAACAAAAACCTCTCTATTCATATAAATCTCAATTTAAAAATATAGATTTCATATCAAATTGATAAATAGACCGACTCAAATGACCAGCTAAAGCCAACAAAGTTCTCACTTTCAAATCTAGCAACTAGAGAAAAAATATTTATCAAAATCAATAACTTTTGTTAAGTCTTATGCTTTTGGATACTTCCATCTACATTGTACTTTGTTTTGAATACCCATTTTAATCCAATAACTTTCTTTTCTTGCGGTAGATCCATTAGCTCCTATGTTTCATTCTTTTTAATTGATTTAATTTTCTCCTTCATTGCTTTTCGTCATTCTTTTTTTCAACCGTTTCCTCAAAAGTCATAGGATAAATAAACAAAGCAAATGTTGAGTCATAAATTTCGGTTAGTAATTTGAATTTTCTTTGAGAGGTTTCATTTGAGGAATTAGAATTTGAACTGCTACCATGTGAGGTTGACGATAAACTTATCGGAGCAAGATCTGTCACTTGATTCTATGGAGTGTCTAGTTCTATTGAAATCTAAATTTATGTTTCACCTTCGTTGGTCTCTCAAATTCAACTTACACTTTCATCAAACATCTGTTAATAATAACTTTGTCACTAATAGGAATATATAATCGATATACTTTGGATTGTAAGGAATAACCAATTAAGATATGTTTTTTAGATTTTTTATCAAGCTTGTGATAGTTTTGTGAATTTACCAAAGTATAAGTAATACAACAAAAAATTCTTAGATAGCTTACACTTGATTTCATACCATACTAAGCCTCAAGGAGTTTGATTCATAACAACCTTTGTTGGTGAAATATTCAATAAATAAACTGTTGTTACAACTATTTCTAACCAAAACTGATTTGGAAGGTGTTTTCCTTTAAGAAAAATTCTTATTAGTTCAATAATAGTTCGATTCTTACATTCAGCTATACCATTTTGCTCCAATGTATATGGTGCTGTCAATTCTCTATAAATACCATTTTCTTCATTAAAAAAAAAAACTTATTAGATAAAAAATCACCATATCTATTTGCTCGTATCTTTATGCATCTACTACATTGCCTTTCTATAAGTGCATTAAATTTTTAAAAATTATCAAATATTTTATATTTCAATTCCAGAAAATACATCCAACTCATGCGGCTACAATCATCAGTAAACAATAAAAAATATTAACTTTCACCAAATGATTTTATATTCATACGTCCACATAAGTCAGCATGAATTAATTCAAGATAATTAGATGCTCTCCATGCTTTTCCAAATTTTTTACTTTGTTTACCATAAATGTATTCTTCACATACATCAAGTGTATTAATTTTGAGCAATCAAAAAATTATTATTTTTATTTAATAACTTTAAACCCTTAATGTTAATGTGTTCATATCTTAAATATCATAAATTAGACTCATTCTTTTGAGTTGTAATAAGAGCATGTTTTTCAATATTTGAAACATTAAGTGGAAACATTTTGTTTTATGTTATGCAAACATTTACCATAATCAAACTAGATTTTTTATCTTTAATAATACATGAATCATCATCAAATATAATTAAATATTCATCATCTATCAATTGTCCAACACTCAATAAGTTATATGATAAACTAGAAACAAAGAAAATATTATCAATGTATTTTACCTTCCCTTGACTTGACTTCACCTCAATTGTTTCTTTCCCTTTTACTTAAATTTATTTCTTACCTCTAAGTTTAACTTTCAACTTATGAATTTTATAAATATATTTAAATAGTAATCTTATGCTTGATATATGATTAGAACATCTATTATCCAAACACTGAATATTACATAAACAACTTACTATTTTCTTCATTTTCCTTCACATAGGCTTGTTTTTCTTTTTTCTAGCAATATGTTTTCATGTGACCAAATTTTCTATAATAGTGATATTGAATTCCACTCTTGTAGTTTTTTTATTATTATTTGATTGCTTTTGTTCATCATGATCATCAAGGTATCCTCTTCCTCTTTCATTTTTTTTACCATGAAATCCTCTTTTGTCATGTCCTCTTCCTGTTGATTTTTTTGTTTTATTTTGAAGTAAAAGACTCACTCTTAACTTGAAATATTTTTTCTTTATTTTTTTCAAGTGACATGTTCAACCTTGCTTCATGTGCTTGTAAAGAACCCACTAGTTCATCAAATAAAAATATAGATAAATCTTTTGACTCCTCAATTATGGCAACAACATGATCAAATTTCAGAGTTCAACTTTTCATAATTTTTACAATAATTATATGATCATGAAGATGTTCATCACAATATTTTATTTGATTAACAATTTTAGTCACTTTTAAAATCTTGCATCGATTCATTACTTTTCATAAATAAAATTTCAAACTCATGACAAAAGGTTTGAAGTTTTACTGTAATCACCCTTGATAAGCCTTAAAATTCATTTTAAAGTATCAACTAAGTTTGCTTTGAGGTTGTCGCCGTTGTAATTTTTGAGAAAATTATCTCATGTATAACTTGTTGAATGAAGAAAACAATATGTTTGAGTCTTTCTTTATATTCTCCCTTAACCTAGTTTCTTCATCTGTATTTGCATATTAATTATCTATTAAGCCTCAAAAATCTCGAGATTTGAATAGAGTTTTCATCTTGATACTCCAAAATTCATAGTATTTACTTGAGAAGATGAGAATAAGGGGTTGAGACATGTAATTATCATTAAAAGTCATAATGGCTACTAAAATTAAAACTTAGCTCCGATACCATAAATATTGGGGGGAGGAGCAAGGAAACAGTAAAAACATAAAATTATGATCCTCTTTATAGGATATAATAGTAACTATCTCACTCTATCATATCACCCATGATAGAAGATGTAGAAACCATCCTACATCATTGCCCACTACTTCGATGTAAGGCTAGATGAGAGAAGTGGGGCCAACGTGCCTCTTGGATCCCACAACCGCCGCCGATGAAAAGCCAGGTGAGCGAGCCGGGTCAGATTACCAAGCTCAGTTCATTGCTGGTATTATTTCTTTATGGTGATCTTAAAATACGTATCAATTGATGCTTAAAATATGCAGCAGTTTCTTAGGCTTCCGACGCAGCAGCAGAACTGTGCCATCTCGAGATCGAGACACTCTTACAGTAGAAATGAATTCGAGTTCTGATGTTCTTCTCTTACTTAAAAAAGGTGAGCAGCATCAACAAGACAACACCTGTTTACCCTAATCCTAAAGGGGTTTCTCTGCATGCCTAATGGCAGAGAACGGAGCGAACGTCTTCCTGCAAAGGACGGACGCTAAGCGACAGACATCGTCAGGTGCTTCACGTTGGGAAGCTTGTGAAGGGATGCAAAGCAGGCTGTTCTCTGCTTCATGCAATGCACATGACACCCAACAACAATGGAGAGCAGCACCTTCAATTATTGTACCATGGTGAGCTGATTCAAAGCTTCCATTTGATGTACCATTTGCTATCGTCAGTAGTAAACTCCTGTTGCATCACCAAAAAGAAACAAGGAACACTCACTGACTCACACGTACAGAAGTCTGAGGTCCATCATCAACTTGTTTCTGAGCCTAAATCTATTTCCCGGATTCGGGCCCCCACAATTGTACCCACCACGGCCCCCTGCGGGAATAAGTTCAAGAACATAACAACATCCATCAGAAAACAAACCATGGTAAGTTCTCTTTTGGTAAAGAACACGCTCCCACCTGCATCTTGGAGATAGTTAAAAGATTAGAAGACTCCCATTACAAATATTGAGCTGCATGCTGTTTTATATATACGCACAGACACCAATCACTGATCTCAAATGGACCTGTACGTGTTGGGCTTGCTAGCCAAGCCAGCCCAAAGTGCGTGTGTGTGTATATATATATATATATACATGCACACACGCGTGCGCGATAAGACTGAACTCTTGAACTTTTAAGAGAAGTTTACAACACACAACTAGTCATTTTGTATGTTGGGATATGTTTGTACACAAGAAAACTTGGGGGATAGGTCTTCTTTAAGAATCACATGTTTTCTTGATTGACAATGAATCCAAATTTGAAAAGGCATCTCACATAAACGAAGGATTCTTGGAGTAGACTTATAATAACGTCTCTTAGACTGATGAAGCTTCTCTTCTAGAGTTTTGCATGGTTCAAACTATTTGGTGGCTTGCCATGTGACCGAAGACCCAAAGCCAGAGAGACAGGATAAGAAGATGAAGGGCTCACATGTGAGAGAGTACTGCAATGGAATTGTTCTGCATGATCTTAGAAATTTTGTTTAGCAAGGCAACTTATGTGCCAAGATTTCCAAGAAGTCTTTGCTCAGACATCATATCTGCTGCAGTCCACGAGCATATGGTGGAATATGTAGGCAACAGATGGGAGCACGAGCAAGAACTTAGTTGACCATATGCATTAGGTGAATGGTTTGAACGTTCTCTACATGTTGGAAGGTTGGACCAAACTTCTATTCTAAACCTAAGATGTGGAGCAAAATCATCGTCAGACTGCGTCATCTATCAAATGACAGCAGCATTCATGCAGTGAGACCATATGTTCGTTCATTCGGTGCTCAAAATGGAATTGATTTGTCACAAGACAAGGCCATGCATTTATCTTCACACTGATCGGCTGAAGATAATGTTTTGAGCCGATAACTTTTGTTATTTGTTCGGTTGACTGATGAAGAGATAGAACAGTAGAAGAAACTAATGCTGAATCTGGTGGCAAGCAAGCTTCCCTGAATGTGAACTGCTTGGTGATGTAACATCATCATCTGACCTTGTTTTCGGATGATGTCAAGCGACCAAGTCCTAATCAGGCAAACTCATGCACTTCTTTCAGCATATGTGAATATGAGCTTACATGCATCAGACACAGGTCCAAGATGGATTAAAGAAAGTGAGTGCATTAAGATTATTGGATGACAACTAAAGCTGAAGATTCTTCCTGTGGGACAGTCTGCTTTCAGTGGTCGGAAGGTAGAGGTTTACGGTTTAAGCAACTACTTCCAGTTGGTGGTCTTCGGACTTGTCTACTCTTTCCCCAAGAAAGTTGATTCTTTGTTTCATCTTTTAGAAACGGAAACAAATATTTTGCTTTTAAAATTGCCCGTGATTCATAGCAACATGAAAACAAGTTTAGTTCCTCTAACATTAATAATAAATCTCTCTCTCTCTCTCTCTCTCTCTCTCTCTCTCTCTCTCTCTCTCTCTCTCTCTCTCTCTCTCTCTCTCTCTTTCTGTACGTCTCTCAGGCTAAGTACATGCAACTGGGCAGGGTTCAGATGGGGGAAAAGCTGTCTATTGCATTGCAGTAGCATTACTGTTGTAGTTTGATACATACCAACCAAGGCACAAACGAAGAGAAAGAGGAGAATAAGAGTCTGAGCCGTATGTGGGATGCCTGCTACTGAGCATAACCCACGCTGAAAGCCTTATGATAACAAACCTCTCTCACTAACCTCGATTCTTTATCGCCTACTATGTTCAAAGCCATTAAGTAGCAATTGACTACTTCCAACTGTTGCACTAAAAAGTAGCCGAAATGACAGGATGACGAACGCTCCCACACTCGAACCCATATTATTAATGGCTCAGAGCTAAAGCTGTTGTAAGCAAAGCATGCATCACAAAACTGTGGGTTAAATGCATTATTCTAACTAGCATAGATGTAGCTGTCTAGTGTGTGACCACAATGACTGATGTGTTGATCGAGTCTAAATCGATGGACTTGATTACTGATCTTCCTTGTAACAAAGAAGATTTCTACTTCTTTTTCTTCACTCGCATATGAGTGAACATTAAGCTTTGCCATGTGTAGTATAAGAAAGATGCACATTCTCACCTGTCACTAAGTATGCATGTCATAATGACAGTGGTTAAAAGTCACTGTATAAAAGGTGTGAACGATATACTGCATTTGAAGCTTCCTTGGGATGTCACTATCAAGTGAGACTCCATAATTACCATATCAAGCTTTCATAAGAGTTAGAAAACCTAAAAGATCATTCAGTAGTCTTGTTCTTCGTTGTCTTAACTTTTTTCTCATATTTTCATGTATACGTATATATGTATGTATATATGAATAGATGGGATTCAAGGTAAGCAACTGCGAATCTTTTAATGGTTTGATCACCATCAAACCTATGTAGCGTGTGAATACAGCACTTGCATGTTCGCATCAGATGCCATGCAATACGTGTGTTGCGATTAATGGTGGGTTGACCTGCTTGCACAAAAGTTGAAGTTGTGTGTGTGAGAGAGAGAGAGAGAGAGAGAGAGAGAGAGAAGAGAGAGAGAGAGAGAGGAGGAG